ATGCCTTAGGCACTATGCCACCAGAGCTCCTTATTTTTAATTAGTGCCCCATTAGTTGTGTTTGGGTCAGATTTGAGGGGAATGAGTGGGGGAGGGGAGAGATGGAAGACAGGAGCACTGGTCTGGGGGGTAAATGATTTTTTAGTTGAGACAGAACTTGGGGTCCAGAGGTGCTCCCCAAATCCTAGCTTAGCTGACCTGGGCCAGATGGGAGGAATGGCAGGTGCCAGACTGGGCACAGGGAGGCTGTCTGTGCCCCTGGCAGGAACGGGGGGTGACGGGGCAATGACGCAGATGTGCTGGGGTTGGGGCGGCATTCCTGACTGCGTCCAGGACCCACCCGGCGCCCCCCTCACTGCTTTTAACATCTATTCCATTTTTACTGTAGAAAGCCGCCAAGGCCCCTGACAACCTCTGAGGATGCAGTTTAATGTACAGTTGTCCCCTCTTATCCGTGGTTTCACTTCCACTGTTTCAGTTATACACAGTCAATCGCAGTCAAAAAACGCTTAAATTGCGCACCGTTGAGCTCCGGGAAGGAGCCAGTTTCTTCCTGCTCTGCTGGGTGCAAGCCTGGGAAACGGTTGGGTGGGGAGCTAGGTGCTCAGTGTTCACTAGCACGCATGGGGTTAACATGATCTACTCCTGGGCACCCCGGGTACCTGTCCCATGTGTTTATTGGGATGAACAGAGTATATGTGGAGTTAGGTGCAGTCCCTGGAGTCAGGCATCTGCTGGGGGCTTAAACCAATGTATCCCCCGTGGATAAGGACTGCTGCATTTATATACATATGTGTATTTTTAAAATAATAGTTTATCGTGTTTTAGGTGAAAATCTTCACAGCCAGTTAAGTTTCCACTTAACAATTTTTGTACAGATTGTTCCGTTGTACAGATTGTTCCCTAACATTGGTTGTGTTTTTCACAATGTATCAGCATTCTCGTTATTTCCATTCCGGTTGTTCCGTTTCCATTATTCTAGCTTCCCTGCCCTCTCCACCTTCTCACCACTCACTGCCAGAGGGTCATTGTTGACCATTTGGTCTCATACAGTTGGTTGTTTAAGGGAACAGAGTCCTCCCGAGTGATGTTTATTTTCTAAGCCAATCTGTTATTGGGATAAAAGGTGACCTCAGGAGTGGCTTCAGTTCCAAGTTCAAACGGGGTCTCAGGACCCTTGTCTCAGGGGCTCTTCTAGTCTCTGGCAGCCCAGGAGGCCTGGCCTTTTTCGGGAATTTGCATTTTGTTCTCCATTCCTCCTCACGCTCCGCTGCAGATGCTCTGCCTGGCTGCACCGGCGCTGCTGCGGGCCCTGGCCCGGGCCTCACGTGCAGGTAGGACCGCGGGAGGCTTCCAAGGGTGGGGAAGCCCGGTCCCCCAGCACGCAGTCACAGCTGTGACGGGTGAGCCCTCTCCTTACAGGTCATCTCAGTGGCCGAGGCCTCCACGCCAGCTCAGTCGCAGCCACCTACAGTGAGTACCAGTGGCTTTGGGTCCCAGGGTTTTGTGGTCACACTGCTCCTGCCAGAGGCAGAGGAGGAGGCCTGGGTTCTGGTCCTGGTTGGGCCGGGGGCTGCCCTTCCTGAACCCCATTTTCTGTCTGTCACATGTGGAGGGTGACGGTGATTGATTTGTGGGCGCCTTCCTGGAGCTGCTCGATGTAGGCCATATCCCAGCCTCCTGGCCCCTTAACCCCCTGACTCCTCCTTCATAGCTCTGCTCGAGGGGCCCCTGGGCTCAGACAGCCGCGTAGGCCCAGGGAGAGGTTGGTGAGGGCTGCCGGGCCCGCTCCAAGCCAGCTCTCACCGAGGCCAGGGAAGGTCTGGAGGACAAGCCCCTGGTGGTCCCAGGGCAGCCCCATCTCTGAGCTAGATTCCCTGGGAGGGGACTTGTGACAGGGTGCGAGGGCCCCTGCCACAGCCTCTCCTCCCTTCTCCCCTGCAGAGTATGTGAACCTGCGGGAGCCCAAGACAGACATGAAGTCGCTGACTGACCAGGCTGCTCAGACCCTGCTGTGGACGGAGCTCGTACGAGGTACCCCCGGGGGGAGGCCAGGCTGGGCGTGGGTGCTCCGAGGAGGGTGCCCCGCCCACCACCGTGCTGCCCGCAGGCCTGGGCATGACCCTGAGTTACCTGTTCCGGGAGCCGGCCACCATCAACTACCCGTTTGAGAAGGGCCCGCTGAGCCCGCGCTTCCGCGGAGAGCACGCGCTGCGCAGGTACCCGTCCGGGGAGGAGCGCTGCATCGCCTGCAAGCTCTGCGAGGCCGTGTGCCCCGCCCAGGTGAGCCCCGCCAGGTGAGCCCCCGCCCAGGCAGACGGAGGCAGCTGGGGCCCAGACGGTGGCTTGTCACGTGTCCGCGGAAAGTCCCTTCCCCTCTGAGGCACTTCCCCAGCTGTACGAGGAGTGACGAGGCCGTGTGGCCAGGGTCAGTGAGCTGCTGGATAGAGCCCCAGCCTGAGCAGGCCCGGCCCCTAGTGGTCCCGTCTGGGCTGTGGATCCAGGCCTGTGAGCCACCGGGCAGCACCTGAGCGTGCAGGTGGGAGAGGCCGGTCGGAGCTGGGCGCTTGCAGCTCCCGGAGAGCCTGAGGGCCACTGCCAAGCCCCTTTGAAGGTCCTTACTGTGGTGAGAGGCTCCATGGCACAGGGCTGCAGCAGGAACAGGGAGGGAAGGGCCTGCCTGCGAGTCTGGGCTCTGTCCCTTACTTGCTGTGTGGCCTTGGGAAGCCCTTCGACCTCTCTGTGCCTCAGTTTCCGTCTCCCAAGAGTGAGGGTAGTTTAACATTCACCACATAGTTACTGAGCGCTTGTTACAGGGCGAGTCCTGTTAGGGTTGTGAGTCCTACAGGCCCCGGGAGGTACCAGCCTCCCTCGGGGGGCGGGGGTTAACCTTGGACAGGAGATGCCCGCAGTTACTGAACAAAAATGTCAGATGGGGCGGGACTAGGAGGAGACCGAGAGAGGCTGCTGGGGTAGACAGTAGATGTGATGGCAGCCTCTGGGGAGAGGAGCCAGGCATGGTGTGTGAGGGGGTGGCATCGGGCTAAGGGGGTGACACCAGGCTCGGCCGGGGGAAGGGCACCCTGGAATGGCAGGGGCATGCACAAAGCCCCAAGGGTGGGACTGAGTCCAGCGGCTGCAGGCCCAGAACTGAGGAGCTGAGAGGCGTCGGGCCCTCGGCCATGTCCTGGGGCTGGGCTCGTGGCTGGGCAGGGTGGCAGTGCCCCGTGGCTGCTTCCTCCCCAGGCCATCACCATTGAGGCAGAGCCCAGGGCGGATGGCAGCCGCCGGACCACCCGCTATGACATTGACATGACCAAGTGCATCTATTGTGGCTTCTGCCAGGAGGCCTGCCCTGTGGACGCAATCGTGGAGGTGAGGGGGGGAGGGGGTCAGGAGGCCTGCCCCAGGATGGTGTCACAGAGGTGTGTGGGGGGTGTCAGGAGGCCTGCCATGTGGATGCAGTCGTGGAGGTGAGGGGGGAGGGGGTCAGGAGGCCTGCCCTGGGATGGTGTCACAGAGGTGTGTGGGGGGGTGGCAGGAGGCCTGCCCCATGGACGCAATCTTGGAGGTGAGGGGGGAGGGGGTCAGGAGGCCTGCCCTGGGATGCTGTTGTAGAGGTGAGGAGCACAGGGTATCAGGAGGCCTGCCTGGGATGTGGGCTTGCTATTGTGGAGGGGGCGGTGTCACAGAGGTGGGGGGGAACAAGGTGTCAGGAAGCTGGCCCCAGGAAGCTGTCACAGGGGTAAGGGGGTCAGAACGTCAGGAGGCCTGCCTGGGACACTGTTACAGAGGTGAGGGGGGACAGGGCGTCAGGAGGCCGGGCCCAGGACACTGTTGCAGACGTGAGGGGGAATGGGGCGTCAGGAGGCTGGGCCCAGGACACTGTCATGGAGGTTAGGGGGCATGGGCCGTCAGGATGCTGGCCCGGGGTGCTGTCCTGGAGGTGGGGGGCTATCTGCAGGCTCCTCGGTGGGGCCTGAGGTGTCTGACCCGCCCGCCCCCGCAGGGCCCCAACTTCGAGTTCTCCACGGAGACACACGAGGAGCTGCTGTACAACAAGGAGAAACTGCTGAGCAACGGGGACAAGTGGGAGGCCGAGATCGCCGCCAACATCCAGGCCGACTACCTGTACCGGTGACGCCGCCACCCCAGCCCCGCTGCCTGAATAAAGGCGCTCTGCCCCGCCGCCTCCTGTCCTGAGTCCTCTGTCCTGGGGGGCCCTCCCCAGCCTGAGGCCCCGTGGAGGCCTCCACCGCGGCCAGACCGCACCTCTGCTCCCCACGTCTCAGCCCTCACTGGTCCACAGCTCGTCCGCACGTCCAGCAGAGCTGCCCGGCCTCCCGTGTGACTCGGTGGGACCCGTCAGGCCCTCCCCTTGTCCGGGCCAGAGCCCGGAGCATCTCTGCTGCCCACGCATCTTCCTGGGCATTTTCCCCAGGCTCAGCCATGCTGGTGGTCACCCTGGCCTGTCCTCACTGACACAACCCTGCAGCCTGCAACCTCCCAGTTACCTCAGGAAGGCCAGGCCAGCCTGGCTGGGTGGCAGGGGAACGCCTGCCCTAGGGCTGACAGTCACAAGGATGTGACACAGACTGTGTTGGCCCTGAGCTGGCCTTGCCTCTGGCCACATCCCCTTTGCTCACCAACCTCCCCAGGCAAGGACTTCCTTCTGCCGTCCCAGCCAGGAAATCTCAGTTCCCTTGGGCCACACACAGGCCGGGTGCTGAGGGACATGAAGCAAAACCCAAAAATAGCCCCTTGAACTTGGAGTACTGCAGGCTCAGTAGTGAGAACACTATCAGAAAGGTGAAGTGACTTGCCCAGGGTCACACAGCATCTATCAGAATTAACTAGCTCGAGTCCAGGAGATTCCAGAGTCCCCTTCTCCGTCATTTCCAGAAGGGCTTTTTGCAAACACTGACCTTCCAGATGCTCCCTGGAAAGACACGGGGAGGGTGTTCTGTGGGCCAGGGATGGGAAATGTCCCCGTGTCACCTGCTTGAACATGTTAGCTCAGTCAAGGCTCTGAGAAGGCCTGCAGCAGGAAGCCGAGCCTCTCCGAGGCCCGCAGGGAGCCCTTTGCTCAGGGCACCGCTGTTGCCTGGGCTGCTTGCTAGTCTGGGGTTACCCTCTCCTGAGGGCAGAAGAGGCCCTGGCCTCCTTGGGCACCCCCACCAGCCAAGCCCTGAGGGCCTAGCCAAGCACAGGGGCCAGTGTGTCATGTCAAGGGTCCCCTCCTGGAATCTGCCCCTTGATATCCCAGTACATGTCCACCACTGGCTGAGGACCCTGGCCTTTGGCTGTGACTCAAAGTTCCCAGCCTTGGCCTTGGGGCTTCAGCCGCCCCCATGCTTCCCCTCCCCCCAGGCCCTTGCCAGCCACTGGGCTCAAGGATCACTAGAGCTGAGGGGCACTGTCGCCCCTCTGTTCCCCAGTGAGTACAGACCAGGCCTGTCCGAAGCACAGGCAGCTGGACCCTCCTGAACCCCTCAGTGCTGGTGCTGGGAGCCGGTGACCCACAAACCACAGGGGAGTGACTAGGAGCCAGGTCACAGGGACACCCTCCCGCTGCTGGCAGAGCGACTTCTAAGTGCCATTAGAGAAGGGGGCAGAGGGGCCACCACCGACCCAAGGCCATGGAGCTACGGGCCCAAGTTCAGGACCCCCCTGGGGGTCTTTCACTGCTCCCTATCCTGGGTGTAAGGACAGGGCTGTGTGCCTGTCGCCCCCCCCCCTCCCGCAAGAGAGAAGGGAGTCCTCTAGTAGGGGAGGGTGCTGGGGAGACGGGAGTGCTAGGCCCGGGCCCATTAGGCAGAGAGCGTTGGGGTTCATGTTAGCTCCCTAGGCTGCCAGCGGACCTCATTGAGGCCCGGAGATGTGCACGCCTGGTACTGGCCAATTATCTCGCTTCCTGTCTCCACGCCTCGTCGCCCCGACCCACGCGCTTCACAGCCGGGGGTCACAGGACGGCCACCTCTAACCCTAACCCTCCCCTGCGGGGCGGGGCGGGGCCCCGGCGGGGCGGGGGCGGGGCCAGGGCGGGGCCATCCTGGCTCCGCCCCGCCCCGTCCGGCCGCGCCTGCAGGGACCGGAGTTCTTTGCGTGGGCGCCGCCGCGGGGAGCACAGAGCAGTCTCTGGCCGGGTCCACACGGAGGGCGGCGTGGAGCCGAGCGGCGCTGCGTGCAGCCCACCCTGGGTGAGTGCCCTGACCAGGATCTGCAGAGCCCCCGGCTCTGCCCGCCAGCCCCACTAAGCGCCGCCCCCTCAGCCCCAGGAAGAGGATCCTGGCACCCCTACCCAGTTGGGTCAGGGGGTGCAGCTCTTGGTCCTTGGGGCCGCGAGGCGAGGAGGAGGAGTGCACTCGGCACTGGGGCCCTCGGCTTTGCCGGTGCCCTTTCCTTTGCCGGAGGGAGCCATTCCACAGATGGGGAGAGTGAGGCCGGTGCAACGAGGAAGTGGCAGCGCCACGGGCAGGCTTGGTCAGGCCGTCTCCTGAGACACTGCACACACTCCTCCAGCCCTCCTCATCGCCCAGGGGGCAGGACCAGGGGGGAGGGACTTGGGGTAGCCAGGAGGGGGAGCCGGGCCCTGAGGGACTCGGAGGAGAGGAGGGGCTGGAGCCGGACCTGCAGCCCCCAGGACCTCCCCTGGCCCCTCAAGCTGACCCTGACTCACGGCCATCCCATGTGTTTGCAGACTGGAACTGCTCCCTGGGGCTGTGAGATCACCAGGCCTCCTGCACTGCCCCTGAGTGGGTTTTAGGTTAGTACTGGAGCGTGAACTGTTTGCCACACGGGACGAGGTAGCTTCCCGTTGCTCAGAATACATGGCTGGGATGGCCCCTGGCTCAGGTGGGGAGCAGTGGGGGGCTAATAGGGGGGCAGCAAAGGCCTCAGATGCCAGGTGAAGGGGCTGTGGAATGACCTGGGCCCATGCCCATCATTGGGCACCCTTGGGGGGTGCCTGGGAACAGGGGGAGCTAGTCCAGTGCCCCTGTGAGTCAGGGTACATGGCTGGAGTTACATTGGCTGCTGGCTGAACCCCAAACCTGGCTCCCTGTACCCCTCTGTTTGTCGGGTCAGGAACCAGGAACAGCACTGTGGTGCCCCCGCCCCCAGCACCTCCTGTGCCTGGGGCCTCTGGGTCTACAGCCCAGGGGCTGGCTCCTGCTTGGCTTGGTCGCTTGTTGACCCTGTGACCTCTCCAGGTCTCAGCTGACTTATCTGTACAATGGGTTGCAGCACCCCCTTCCGCCATTCAGGATTGTCTTTAGAGATTAACTGAGGAAGTGCAGGTGAAGGGCTTACATGGGGGCTCTGGGTGGCCAGCCCCATTCACCCAAAAAGGAAGTGGCGCCCAGAGAGGGCAAGGGACTCAACCAAGGTCATAGGCAGTCATGCCTAACTAAGCAGGAGCCAGAGCCCAGGTCCCCGGCCCCTGTCCAGGTCCCCGGCCCCCTGTCCTGGTCCCCGGCCCTCTGTCCAGGTCCCCGGCCCTCTGTCCTGTGGCCCCAGCCATGTTCTCAGTCGGTGGGACCTGGCCCCTCCTGCCCCCACTCCCCTGACAGGGCCCTGGCCACCCTCTTAGCATTCTCTTCTCCCAGGCTGGGGCCGGAGCTGCAGTTCCCTGTCCAGGGTTAGGTAACTGGACCCAGGGAGGAAGTGACCAGCAGCGCAGGCCCCGCCTGGCTGGCCCACACCGCAGGAGGGACCCACTGCCTCCAAACTTTCACCCTGTCGATGGGACCTCCCCGTACCTGCCTCCTTTCAATTTGATAGCTAAGGAAACAGTCGAGAGGCTGGGAGTAGCTGATCCTGAACCCCAAAAGCAGTAGCCCCAGAGCAGGCTGGGCTCCGGCAGGGCTGGGTGGAGGCCAGCCCCACCCCATCCGCCCAGATTTGAGCAAGACCCTACAGGGCCTTCCCGCCCTTACACGGTTTCACTTTTGTTATTTCGACACCTGGGAGGCTGCGCCTTCCCCCACCCAATGCAGCAGCAGCCAGGCCCCCTGGGAAGGGCCTCTGTTAGCACTCACCCCCATTCCTCCCTGCCCTCCTCTGGCCTCCAGCCCTTAGTGCACACAGACACTGCAGTGGAGAGTCAGAGGGCTCCCAGCTGCCCCGGGGATAGCCTCCAACCCCCAGAGCCCTGGGGTCTCCAGTCGCCTCATACCCATGGAGTAGAGAGGTGAGGGCTTCGAGGACGCTTGGCTGGTGAGGCCTGGGCCGTTAGGGAGGCTATTTCAGGACGGTGTGGTGTCAGAATTCCTGTAACTTCAGGAGAGAGGGGAGGGTGGACATCATCATCAATCCAGAGTTAATTCCTGAGGTGGAGGTCAGACTTACGTTCGCTCTCCAAGCTCAAAGCCGACCCACCCACCTGCAGCACTCTGTACTTTTCTGTTGGGCTCAACGATCATTGCAATGGCTACACGAAACTCATGGACCATGCTCACAGTTACGGGGTTTATTAGGGAAGTAACAGGTTACAACTGAGGATGCAGTCCTTGGGTTGGGACATCTTCTTTCTGGCTGTGCCCATAGGCAGGCCTGTCTCCCTTAACCCTCCACTCTCAGCCTGGCCTCTGCTCTGCCCAGACAAGGGTAACACAGCTCTTTACTTCTGAAGACTAGTGACCAGAGGCACCCACTCTGCCAGCAGGCCTCCTACCCGAGGCGCACAGCTCTCTTGCTCTGTGGGTCTTCCAGTCTAGTCTGCCGGTCCCGTGCCGCTGTGTTCCCGCTCCATCTTCAGTGTTACACCTCTGGCGTCTGGGTCTAGGAGGTTCTCAGCACAGGGACCCTCAGTCCAAAAGACACGCTCCACTCCTGGCTCTTCCTGATGGTAGTGAGGTCCCCTTCCAAACTCTGGGCTTGGCTCCCTTTACGTAAACTGGAATGGCAAAACTGACTAACCCACTATAAGGGTTCCATGAACCTTATTTAAATGGTCCCACCCCCACAAGCCAAAGTATGATCTTGAATATATCCCTCCTGAATGTAGAGATCATCTAAAGAATAGATTTGAACACCAACGACCAAAAGCCAGATGAATTGTGGGAAGATATCAAGAACATTCAGAAATGTTTGCAGCAGTATATTGACAGAGAACTTCCAGAGGTTCATGCCGGATTCAGAAGAGGACGTGGAACAAGGGATATCATAGCTGTTGTCAGATGGATCTTGGCTCAAGGCAAAGAATACCAGAAAGATGTTTACTTGTGTTTTATTGACTATGCAAAGGCATTTGATTGTGTGTATCATGACAAATTATGGATAACATTGAGAAGAATGGGAATTCCCGAGCACTTGATTGTACTCATGAGGAATCTGTACCTTGACCAGGAGGCTGTCGTTCGAACAGAACAAGGGGACACTACTTGGTTTAAAATCAAGAAGGGAGTGCGTCAGGGTTGTATCCTTTCTCCACACTCATTCAATCTATATGCTGAGCAAATAATCCAAGAAGCTGGACTATATGAAGAAAAACTTGGTATCAGGATTGGAGGAAGAATCATTAGCAACCTGAGATATGCAGACGATACAACTTTGCTTGCTGAAAGTGAGGATGACTTAAGGCACCTACTGATGAAGGTTGAAGAATACAGTCTGCAGTATGGATTACGTCTCAACATAAAGAAAACAAAAATCCTCACAACTGGACCAATGAGCAGCATCACAATAAATGGAGAGAAGATTGAGGTAGTCAAAGAATTCACGTTGCTTGGTTCTACAATCGATGCCAAGGGAAGCAGCTGTCAGGACATTAGATGACGTGTAGCATTGGGAAAGTCAACTGCAAAGGAACTGTATCAAGTGCTGAGGAGCAAGGATATCTCCTTGAGGACTAAGGTGTGCCTGACACAAGCCATGATATTTCCAATCGCCTTGTATGCATGGGAGAGCTGGACAATGAATAAGGAAGACCGAAGAAGAGTTGATGCTTTTGAGTTGTGGTGCTGGCGAAGAATGCTGAAAGTACCGTGGACTGCTAAAAGAACTAACAGATCTGTCCTGGAGGAAGTGCAGCCAGAATGCTCCTTGGAAGCAAGAATGGCCAGACTTCGTCTCACCTATTTTGGTCATATTGTCAGAAGGGACCATTCCCTGGAGAAGGATGTCATGCTTAGTAGGGTGAAGGGTCGATGAAAGAGGGGGAGGCCTTCAACGAGATGTATTGACATGGTGGCTGCGATGATGGGCTCAAGTATAGCAGGGTTTGTGGGGCTGGCGTGGGATCGGGCAGTATTTTGTTCTGATGTGCATGGGGTCGCTATGAGTCGGAAATGACTCGACGGCACTTAACAACAACAACAACAACAACACCCCCACAAGTGTTCCATGAACCTTATTTGCATTAGCAAAATTGTCTGCTTCCCTTGGTGGCTCACGAGCCCCTTATTTGCATAGTCACAGCCGATCAGTCTGTGGGAGTCACGAGACTGTGGCTGGTGTTGTTGTTAGGTGCTGTCGAGTCATCTCTGACTCATAGCGGCCCCGTGTTCAACAGAACAAAACCCTGCCCGGTCCTGCGCCAGCCTCATGATCCCTGCTAGACCTGAGCCCATGGTTGCAGCCACGGTGTCGGTCCATCTCATTGAGGGCCTTCCCCTTTCCTGCTGACCCTCCACTTTACCAAGCATGACATCCTTCTCCAGGGACTGGTCCCTTCTGATGTGACCAAATTAGGTGAGACGAGGTCTGGCCACTCTCCCCTCCAAGGGCCTTTCTGGCTGCACCCCTTCCAGGACAGATCTGTTCGTTTTTTGGGGCGTCCGTGGGACTTCAGCACTCTTCGCCAGCTCCACAGCTCAAAAGCATCAACTCTTCTTTGGTCTTCTGTATTCATTGCCCAGCTCTCACGTGCTTCTGAAGCGATTAAAAACCCCATGGCTTGGGTTAGGTGCACCTTAGGCTTCAGAGTGACGACGTCTTTGCTCCTCAGCACTTTAAAGGCTCCTTGGCAGCTCATTTGCCCAAAGCAGTACAGTGTCTGATTTCTTGACTGTTGCTTCCATGAGCATTAGTTGTGGATCCAAGTAAAATGAAATCCCTTCCATCTTTTCTCCATTTATTATGATGTTGCTTATTGGTCCAGTTGTGAGGATTTTTGTTTCCTTTATGTTGAGGTGTAACCTATACTGAAGGCTGCAGCCTTTGATCTTCAGTAAGTGCTTCGGGTCATCCTCACTTTCAGCAAGCAAGGTTGTGTCATCTACATATCACAGGTTGTTAATGAGTCTTCCTCCAATCCTGATGTGATGTTCTTCTTCATATAGTCCTGCTTCTCGGATTATTTGCTCAGCATACAGATTGGATAAGTATAGTGAAAGGATACAACCCTGATGCACTCCTTTCCTGATTTTAAACCATGCAGTATCCCCTTGTTCTATCTGAATGAAAGTCTTCTGGTCTATGTACAGGTTCCTCATGAGTTCAATGAAGTGCTCTGGAATTCCCATTCTTCCCAAAGTTATCCATAATTTGTTATGATCCACACAGTCAAATGCCTTTGCATAGTCAATACAACACAGGTGGACATCTTTCTGGTATTCTTTGCCTTGAGCCAAGATCCATCTGACATCAGCAATGATATCCCTCATTCCACGTCCTCTCCTGAATCCAGCTTGCATTTCTGGAAGTTCCCTGTCGATGTACTGCAACCATTTTTTAATTGTCTTCGGCAAAATTTTACTTGCGTGTGATATTAGTGACGTTGTTCATAGACTGTGGCTAGAAGGGTCGGATTAAAGCAATTCACTGCACCCCAGGCCCAGGGACGAGTAGGACCCGGGTAGGGGCAACCGGAGAGAGGCCTGGTGTGTGCGAAGCTGGAATGAGGAGAGCAGTGTGGACAGATGGGGAGTGGGGTGTCTGGGGCGGGCACAGTGAGCTGACAGAGAGGCTGGGCTGGGGTCAGGCCGCGGATGACCACTCCGCTGCCAGCTGGGCTGCTTCATG